GTCCCACTACCAAAGTAAGGGTCGTATTCAACGCTTCTTTCAAATCTCCTTCAGGCATCTCATTGAATGAAACCTTGTTCATTGGGAAAAAGCTTTAACAAGACATTGTCGCTCTGTTGTTGAACTTTCGCTGTCATACCTATGTTTTTACTGCCGATATTAAGGCTATGTATAGGCAAATTCTGGTTCAAGAATCCCATCGTGATTTCCAAAGGTTGCTTTGACGATTTTCTAAAAATGACCCTGTTCAAGACTTCCGATTGAAAACTGTCACCTTTGGTGTCTCTGCAAGCCCTTTTCTCGCCCTAAGAACTTTGTTTCAGCTGTCCGAAGATGAAAAAAATAATTTTCCGAATGCTTCCAGAGTATTGAAGAGAGATGTTTGATGTTTATGTGGATGACATTTGTTCAGGTGGAAACTCTTTGGAAGAAACCATCATTTTACAACGAGATTTAATATCTTTACTGAAAAAGGGATGTTTTCTCTTGAGAAAGTGGTCCAGTAATCATCCGGACCTACTAAGAAATTTTCCTCATGAGGACTGTCAGCAAACTGCCCTGTCTTTCAATAGTAGTGATGGAAGTGATTCGGTGGTAAAAGTATTGGGTCTCAAATGGCTTCCATGTACTGATACTTTCTCTTATGATGTTATTCCTTCGAATAAAACCTGCACGAAACAAGCCATTCTTTCTGAAGTTTGTCGAGTTTTCGATCCTCTCGGTTTTTTAACACCACTGTCGTTTTTCTCCAAATTCCTCATTCAGCATCTCTGGAGCCTTGGATGTGATTGGGATCAGAAACCCCTCCGTACATCATCGATTAATGGACAAAATATAAGAACGAACTCACATGTCTTTCTGAAATAAAAATACCCCGACATGCTCTTATACCCGGTTATCTTTCTTGTGAACTGCATGGTTTTGCCGACAGTTCGGAGAGGGGATATGCTGCAGTGATATATTTCCGTTTCAAAGTTTCTGAGAATGAATATGAACCTCGGTTGATTAGTGGCAAATCTAAAGTTGCACCTTTACAAAAAATCTCTATCCCCCGTTTAGAGCTTTGTGCTGCTCTGCTATCAAAATTATTCGATTTCATCCTCAACACATTCAAGGATACGCTTTCTTTCGACTATATATTTGCTCGGAGTGATTCTATGGTCGCTCTTGATTGGATAAAATCATCGGCTCATCGCTGGAAACCCTTTATCAGTAATAGAGTGAGTTATATCCAAGAACGAATACCACCACATTATTGGCATTATGTCCGCTCGAGTGACAATCCTGCCGACTGTGCCTCTTGAGGTTTACTACCCTTAGACCTAATGAACCATCCCCTTTGGTTCCACGGACCAACTTGGCTGACCCTTCCAAAAACCAGGTGGCCCACTCACACTCCCAGTTCCGATCGATCTCTCGTCTTGGAAGAGGAGAAAACGGTAACTCTTCTCACATTCATTGCCCTCGACTCTTTGGAGACTTTTCTTGAAAAGTATTCGTCTCTCAATAAAATGACTAGAATTATTTCCTATTGTTTTCGTTTCATGAATAATTTGAGAAATCCCACAGCAAAAATCTCCACTGCATTCACAGCACTTGAATTGCATCACTCCTTGCTTGCCCTAGTGAAAGGTGTTCAACATTCATCATTTCCTGTCGAAATTACTGATTCAGAAAATAAGCTTCCCCTACCTGAAGCCCTCAGAAAATTGAATCCCTTCATTGGAGAAGATGGTCTCCTCAGGGTGGGCGGTCGTTTGGTGCATTCTGGGCTCGCTTATGATAAGAAACACCCTATTTTATTACCGAGCAAACATCGTCTCACGTATCTTATTATCCAAAAAATTCATGAAGAAAATTTCCATCCTGGTTTGCAAACTGTGCATTTTTTGATTGCCCAAGAATTTTGGATTCTATCACCGAAACGTGCCATTCGACATGTTCTTCGAAATGTCACAAATGTTTCCGTGTTAATCCTACTCCCTTAGAACCCTTCATGGGTAACCTACCTTTCCTGCGAATAAATCAAGTTAAACCATTTTCATGTGTAGGGGTGGATTATGGTGGCCCTTTTCATATTACTCGTGGTAGAGGAAGAGGATCTCAATCGTACAAAGCTTATATTTGTTTGTTCGTTTGTCTTGTCACAAAGGCAGTTCATATTGAGTTGGCCTCTGACCTCTCTACCGATACTTTCATTGCTGCCTTACGGCGTTTCATCAGCCGACGAGGACGGTGTAATCGCATTCTTTGCGATCAAGGTACCAATTTTGTTGGTGCAAAAAGAGTACTTTCCGAATTCATGCGTCAAGCATCTGAATCTGAGAAAATTTCATTCCAATTCAGTGCTCCTGGATCCCCTCATTTCAATGGAGTTAGTGAGGCTGGAATAAAAGCAATTAAATCACATTCATTTGATACGAGTCGTAGGAAATCAAGTGATGACCTATGAGGAGTTTTATACACTGCTCGTCCAAATTGAGGGTCTTCTGAACTCAAGGCTCCTCTACCCCCAAAGTTCTGATCCCAACGACTTGACAGCATTGACCCCAGGTCATTTCCTCACTATGGAGCCCCTTACATCTCTCCCTAATCCCGACCTCTCTCATTTAAAACTCAATTGTTTCGATCGATGGCAGCTAGTACAAAGATTCCAGCAGGACATTTGGAAACGTTGGCACACCGACTATTTGAATACTCTACAACAGCGCCACAAATGGCTAAATAAGGGAATATCTATCAATATTGGGGACTTAGTTTTAATTAAAAACGAATCCTTACCACCTCTACAGTGGCGCTTGGCCAGAATAGTGAAAACGCATCCGGGGTCAGATGGGATTGTGAGAGTGGCAACAGTTCGGACCAACCAAGGTTTTTTTCCGAGGCCTCTGGTAAAGTTGTGTCCTCTTCCCCAACCTGTATGAAAATACAAGGTATTTTGGTGGGCGAAAATGTTAACGCCCCACGTTAACTGTAGGTTAAGTTAGCAGCATAAATATTATAAATATATATTTTTTTTCCTCATTAATTAGTTCTTCATAATTTTCCTCATTATTTTTTTTCCTCATTGATTAGTTCTTCATAATTTTCCTCATATTACTATTAGGGATTAATATTTGCCATGAAATTAAATATTCACTATCACTCTGTATAGTGTTTCTATATTTTCCTTCTTCTAATTCGAAGGCGTTTTTTGTCTCTTATTTTTTGTGACTGTCAAAGCTGGTTTGGAGACGGACATGCCGAGAAAAGAGAGTCGAATTGATATTCAGCGAAATACGCGTGCTCTCTGTATCCATTACATTCACTGTGTATAAGTGACTCTTTATCGAACAAATGCAAAGCAAATCTAGTGTACAACACAGCCAGCCCTTCATACAGTCCACAAACTCTTTGATCAGCGAATAAGGTGGTTGCAACCCCGAAGAAGATCGGATCAGGGAAGATTCCAGGTGAGTCCATCTCTATTCGACCTTTTTTGACAAGTCTTGAACCAGTCAAATTTTAAATCTAAAAACCACACCTCATTCAAAACCTAACACTACGTATGTTGAGAGGAATGTCTTCTAATATCGTACCTAACTCATTTTCTAAGAAGTTGAGGTACATTGCACCATTCAGAGACCCTGGGAACATGTAGTATCCAACGAATTTGTCTCCTAAAGTCGCAGCCCAGACGTTCACTTTGAAATTATATTGAAAATGCGTAACTTTAACAACGTGTGGATTTTCGTCAGCCCAGAAATGAGTGTTGCGCGAATTGAAAACACCGTTTCTAGTAAAAGTTGCTTCGTTTGTGAACAATATTTTGTTTAAACACTCAGGACATCTTCGAGTTAGTTCCAGCAACTCTTCGCAAAATCTCAATCTTATTTAATTGTCTCGTGGTAACAGTTCTTGTACCTGCAAATAATGATAAGGGAGTAGCTGTTGCTTTCTGAGAATCCTGGTTACATTCGCTTGTGTTGTGTCTATTCGTCTTGCTAATTTCCTTGTACTTATTTCCGGATCCTGGTCCACTGTATTTAATACTTCTTCTTCAACTTCTACAGTTCTCGCACTTCTGGGTCGGCTACCATTTCTATTATTGGTTTTCAAACATCCTGTTTCACGCAGTCTTTGTACAATCCTCAAAATTGTTCTCGAATTTGGAACGCGTCGAGCGGGAAACATCTCTGCATATCGTCTCACAGCAGCATTTGCATTTCCGAAGCACTCGCCAAGCATTAGAAGCATATCAGTTTGTTCAGAGAAGGAATAACCTGCAATATTTCTTAAAATCTCAGTTGATAATCGCAGTGATAAATGACACAGTAAAACCACACGAACAAATCAACTACAACAATGTTGACTCGAATGTTGATGACATGAACGTCAAAATTGAGAACAAAATTATTCATCATGGCCTGCTAAAATATTGTTACCGATGAATCTCGCGATGAATAAAATCAATCTGCTGATATCATGTAACTACAAAAACTCAAATATCTCACGAACGGCTCAATTTTTTGTATTTGGATAGGAGTACCTGTTTCATGTAATTTTCTTCGCTCCATCAAATGCTCCTGTTTTTTCACCGAAAATAATACAGGGAAAAAAGTTTCCTACAAAAAATCATGACTCACCCTCTGAAAACACCCTTTATAACAATATCAGAAATGTGGAAGTGTGACGAAAGAATGTATTTTGACAACATACATTCATGCACAAAATTTCAATCGGGTGGCTTTCATCGTTCAGAAGTTATGCGGAGAAATTATTATAATTTTATCAACTTAGGAAGGATATTATATCTCCCTTAATATGCATTTTGGGCCATGAGTTTAATCATCAAACTACACTTATTTTTCAATGTTCTATCACCCCCAGAAAGCTCAGTTCACATTTTTGACTCACCCTGTATAGAGTCCCGCATATGGGACCATTTACTGGGCCGCTGATATCAGGTATGAGAAAAATATATCCATTGATGCCCCATATCAAAATGTTTGCTGGGACGGTATAAAAACAAATAATTCATTCAAATTATTTATTCACGAAAAAGTAGTACACATAAATGGAGTTCACGCCTTCTTCGTTGTCGGAACTTCAGGTGCAGCAGTGGTAGTGGTCAAATCTCCACAGTTGACGTTGCGGTCGCAGACGGTTTGGGTATTGTCCCAATTAGTTCCTGGTGGACATTTGAATTGGAAAGCAAGGCCACCAGAGCATTCGTAGAACACAGCGCACTCCTTAGTGTCTGGAAGGAAGGTGGGTTGTGCTGAATCTACTGCTGGACATCTCGAATCTGTAACAGTAATATATATTCAACCAATGAGTAACTATACCTTTTCAACTTCTAATGGAGAGAGATCATTTCCAAAATTGAAATTATTATCTTCACCTTGGGACGAACTGATTCAGTATATTCGACACATTAAAATTGGTGATAACCCTTATAGCATACAACGTCCTAGGGACGTCCCTATTTGGTACAATTCACGTCCGAATGTCTCGAACCAAAAATAAGTGTCCTTGGGACGTCCCAGCCCGTACATCTCATGAAATGTCCGAGCAAGGACGTTCACGGAATGTCCCAGCTGGTACATCATTTCAAATGTCATAGAAATAGCATCCCTTAGACGTCCCACGTGATCCCTAATGGGATATGATTTTGAACGTTCCTTTAGGGACATCCATCGGATGTCCCGTCTAGTACATATTCTGGCATGACTTCAGATCTTATGAAATGTCCCTTCTAGACAACCATGAAATGTCCCTGATGGTATATTCCTTCAAATATCTCTGTACAGACGCCCTTAATATTTCCAGGATCGTATGACAATCGAAATGTCCCTTAGGGATATCCGTCGGATGTCCCAATTGGTACATGAACTGTTCTCTTTCAATGTCCTAGAAATAACGTCCTATAGACGTCCCAGTCCGTATTTTCAATATGTTGTCCCTCTGCGAGGACGTTAACTTACACCTCGCCGACGAATGATTGCTCGTAGGCAATAAGTACTCCTCGTCGATGTCCTTTACGTAAGTTCATTAGACATCCTTGGGAAACTTTCTGGAGACCTTCTACGGACCATCAACTCAACTGGATGTCCTAATCAGTTATGCAAGATCTGGTCCCAGAGGGACCCGGTAAAATTCAAATTCAAGAATAATTCGTACGTCCCTGGGACATCCTATGGACATCCAATTGATAGTTTGTCCTATGGATGTCCTATGGATGTCCTAAGGATGTCCTCTGTAGTGCTTGATGAGGAAAACTGTAGGATTTGAGTATTTGATAGTCGTCCCAGGGACATCCCTCAAGGACGTCCCTTGTTGGTCCTCAAGTGGGACATTTGTGCGTCCCACAGACGTCCGATGGACGTCCACGGTACCAAATTCGAACGTTCTATAGACGTCCTGAAAGTCCCGACAGGGCGTCCTGAGGATATCCATGGGACATAAGTGTGTTATTAGGGAAGCAGAATCAAATTGAAATTAATTACTTTCGAAATGAGATTGCATGACCAAATTCAAATTGTAACCAACCCTGATAGCACACTGAATAGACATCCATAGGACGTCCCACCAGGACATTCTGGACGTCCATAGAACATGCGTTCTTGGTACCGCGGACAACCATATTACGTCCGTGGGAAGTACAAATGTCTCGACTCCTCACTAAAAAAGGATATCCCTCAGGGATATACATTGGACCAGGAAGTTCATTGTACATTCTGTTTTCGTTCCAAGGTTATTTATGAGACATCTTCCAAAATGTCCTCTGAAATGTTCAGAGGACCTCCTCTGAAACGTCTTCTAGAACGATCATAGTAGATCCCTAAACTTTTCACAGGACGTCGTCTGAAATGTTCATAGGATGTCCCTGGACGTACGGATCAATCTTGACTTTGAATTTATTTGAGTCTCCCTAGGAGCAGATCTTGCATAACTGATGAGAACATCCAGTTGAGTTGATGGTCCGTGAAAGGTCCTCAATAGATCCTGAAGGAGGTTTCCAAGGATGTCCAATGGACATAACAGATAAGAACATCCAGGTGAGTTGATGGTCCGTAAATGGTCCTCAATGGATCCTGAAGAAGGTTTCCAAGGATGTCCAATGTACTTGCGTAAATGACGTTGACGTAGAGTATTTATAGCCAACGAGCTGTCAATCGTCGGCGAGGTGTTAGTTAACGTCCTTTTAGAAACAACATACCTCGCGTACCGACTGGGACATCCGTAAGACGTTATTCCTAGGACATTGAAAATTATCATTCGATTACGTGAAGAACATTTATATAGAAGATCTATCTGAAGTCCTGATGACAATGTATACCATCGATTGATGTACCTTAGGACATACTCCGAATCGTATTCAGGACATTCTGAGGACGTCCTTGAGACGTCCATAAGACGTTGTACTCATGACATTTCATGGAATGATATTCCCTGATGAATTTTCTTTTGCCTACATATTATGAGTTCCTTCCAAAGTCATATAACATGTCATGTACCAATTGGGACATCCGACAGATGTCTCTAAGGGATATCTCGTGTGGTATACGATCCTTGAAATATTGAGGACGTTGTTCTAGAAGAGACATTATATATATAAGAACTAAAGTCATCTCAGAAAGTGTACTACTTGGGACATCCGGTATACATTCCTGAAGGAACTTTCTAAATTATATCTCATCTGGAACATGCTGAGGACGTCCTTGCATGGACAGTCTACTGGATGTGAAACGTGGAATGTCTGAAGGATGCTATTTCTATACGACATTTGAAATGATGTATACTTGCTCGGCCATTCAATAGACGTCCATGCTCGGACATTCCATGAGACGTACGGGATGGGACGTCCCAAGAACAATCTTTTTGGGTGCGGGATATTCGGACTCCAATTGTACCAAAAAGGAACGGCCATAGGAGGTTGCCTGCTATCAGGGAAATTAATTGGCACTGAATAAACAACTCCAAATTCATATTGAACAAATTCAAATCGAAATTAATTTCGAATAGGAACTATCTAACGTGCTCCGTTTTTGAGATATAGGATGTTGAAGTTGAAAGTATAAATTGTTTTTATTCCTAACTTCCCTTGTATATGAGCTTTCATCGTGCCATAATTCAGTATGATTGGAGACAGAGAAAGCCCCAAAACTTGAAAATGATTGTAATTGGGGTTATTGAATGATCTCAATGGAAGTCATGAAAACACCTACATTAAATTTGGAGTCAAATCGAATTTTTATTGTTTCCTCAAAAACTAAGCTGGATACAGAAATCACAAACGTGCTGAAAAAGTTTTTACCCACTGTGACGCCACTGGTATTATTATTGCCAATATGATTGTACTAGAATGAGCTCTTTATTACTATTACCAAAACCACAGTTCAATTAGAATTGATGAGAAGACGATTGAGTGATGAAGGAAAAAACGATTTCTCGTGGAAACATCAATACCCTGTAAATCCAAAACGAAGTAAGTCAGGACAAATGTTGATATGACCTTTATTTCCTGGAATTTTACAAGGAATCACCCCTTGAATTTTTCCGGTGTTAATTAGATACACCCTGTATACCTACATATACAATATGGAATTGATTGATTCGGTAGCGAATTTGTTTATCATATTGAATGCGAAATTTTGAAAAGGATTCTAATTACAAACGACTGTAAGAAAGAAAAAAAAGGATAGAAGTCTCAAAGTCTGTCGATCACGAAAAATTATTTGATATCCAGTAGTGTAACTAGTTTCTGCCACAGGCCATCATCAGACACGAAATTGATGTATTCAAAGTACCTTGAAGATAATTATGAACATTGTTGAGGAGTTAAAAAGAGTCAAAGAGGTGGTATAGTTACCCCAGTAATACATATCAACAGCAAGAAAAATTATCAAAACGCCAAGGTCGAAAATTCAAGTTATCAGTCCTGAATTTGGAATAGGTTCAGATCTAGGAGAAGTCCAGTGAAACCAGATCAGCATTATATTTATAAAGAGATACATCAAAACGAATAATCGAAAAGTTTCAAAAAATACCCTCACGTGAGATTCATCAGGTTATGCAAAATGCAAATGGAAGCTAAGACGGAATTTGAAGAATCAGAAACATTATAAATCACATGAGAAGTAAACATGGCCAAGAACAAGTGACACAAGTCACATAGTCACAAGTCAATAACACATGACATACAAAATATACAGTGTGTCCCACTTACCATGCTCACCATGGGTATCTTTTTAACGGTGGAAGATACGAGGTCGGTTAAATGACACCAAATGTGGAGTTTGTCAAGACCAACTATAATGTGAAAAAATATTTTGATAAAATCTATTCGTTTTTGTTTTATACGAAAAAAAAACAGATTTTGATCATTTTCATGTCTCCTCCGTAACTTCTTCATTTATAAAAATATTCAAATAGGAATTCTACATTCTCATGGCAGTTTTTCCGAGTGATTTCGAAAAAAATATGAAATTTATACCAACTCTTCCAGAATTTGAGATATCAGCACCAACTTTAGTTTTTCAAATGTATCTTGAATTTATGAATTTCACCAAAAAAATCATGTTCGACCTCGAAAACCCCCACTCACCAATTTTGAATGGAATCGGACCAAATCTTGTCCGCCATCTTGGAGCTGCCATTTTTTTTAATTTCAACAAAAATTCCATATATATTGTCACCGAAATCATGAACACCTGCCAAATTTCAAGTTAATCGGAGATATGGAATTTTTGTTCAAATTAAAAAAATGGCTGCTCCAAGATGGCGTACAAGATTTGGTCCGATTCCATTCAAAATTGATGAGTGGGAGTTTTTGAGGTCGGAGATCATGATTTTTTTGTTAACATTTATGAATTCAGGATGGTGGCTTCCAAATAATTTTTTGTTTTTGTATAAATGACGATAACTCTGTTGTTATCAGCACAAAACTATTACTGCGACATATCATCTGTGAGAGAAAAAGAAGTTATTTGTAACTAAGTCATAGTGAGCTATGACCTGCATTTGAAAAACTAAAGTTGGTGCTGATATCTCAAATTCTTGATGAGTTGGTATAAATTTCATATTTTTTTCGAAATCACTTTGAAAAACTGACATGAGAATGTGAAATTCCTATTTGAATATTTTCATAAATAAAGAAGGTACGGAGGAGACATGAGAATGAACAAAATCTGTTTTTTGCGTATGAAACAAAAACGAATGGATTTCATCAAAATATTTTTTCACATTATAGTTGGCCTTGACAAACTCCACATTTAGTGTCTTTTAACCGACCTCGTATCTCTCACCGTTGAAAAGATACCCATGGTGAGCATGGTAAGTGGGACACACTGTATTATTATTACATGAAAATGATCGACGTGAAATTTCAAGTTTTTAACAGTAGGGACACCTGCGTTGTAGGCATCTTTATCATTCTTTTGAAGTAATCAAATATCTGATGTCACTGTCAGTCTAATCCTGTGATTTAATTTCAAAAAATTGCGAATTTAGTGGTTGTTTAGTAATATACGTAACCGCTAAGTCGAATGGAAGATAAAAGGACTTGCAGTGCTTTCTCGGAGACGGTATTATTGACTAATTTTTCGGAACTATGGCACAACAAATGCCATCAACAGTGTACATATATGTGATATATATCCAGGGAAAAAGTACTCACTTTTTTCCCATGAGAAAAGTAATTCATGAAAAGGGTCATTTTATAACCTGCCAACAGAGATGAAATGCCAAACTTTTTTCCCGTCACAGAAAAAATTATTAATATTGCATTCAATTCTTACCTGGTACACCTGGTGCTTGTGCTGCCACGAAAGCTACAATGCAAACCAACAAAACTAACTGGATTTTCATTTCTGTTGATTTTTTATTTCCCTTTTTCAAGCAAGCCTCTGATTATTCAGAATAACCACTTTTATGTAGGTGGCTATTTATAAAGAAAATTCGAGAGTACTTGAGTCAACTGAATATGGCTATTTTTCTCAGATAAGATTATCTTTTCATAGGTAACATACCTGAATTCCTATTGAACCGACAATCTGATATCGATACAATTTCGATTGACGTGAGGATAATGAACATATCTCCATTTCATGGCCACAGAACATTTCAATTTCCTAGAATCAGTTAAAATTTATGCACTTCAAGCAATGGAATGGTACTTTCAATTCCTCATTTGAGCGGTTGAAGTGGCACTTTTAATCCATTAGGGATTGAGATTGAATACTGGCATTTTTTCCTAAACATCATAGCAACGTTTTCCGATGGCAACAGCAATATAACTACCCATCAGTCAGCAAAGTTGACATTTTGGAACTACGAGTACGAGAGTTCAAAATTTTCTTGATTATTTCATTTTTAGTTTGGAAAATAGTAATATAAGTCCAAGAGCCGGGTCGGTTAATATACCTAGAACCACCGGACGATCCCTAAGTCTTCTACAGGGAACGTCATGCAAACATATCCACTAAACGGCATTTGCAGTGTCGGAGCAAATCTTGCCAAAGGTACCTATTGTATTGTATTGTATTTTATTTCATTTTATTGTATCGTATTTATCAAATCCATCTCACTATCGATACAATAAAATGGACGAGTCAACACAGGTTACAAAAAATACTAGAATACTAAATTATAAATAATACGAAGCTATAAATAATACAATGGACGAGTTAGAACAGGTAATAAGGGATACTAGAATGAAAAATCATAAAGGAATCCTAAACAATGCACAGCACTTATGGTTTCACATAATTGAACAGGAACCAATGATTATTGTCAGTTGATCACACAAGACAAATGATAATAATAAAGTTACAATGAGAACTCGAATAACACTGGAGAGAAAGTTATCAAATTCTTCCAAGCAATTCTGTATCAAAATTTGTTCTCAAGTCACCTTTGAAAACTTCACAGTATAGGACTAGCTTTTACATTATCGGGAAACCTATAAAAGTATGGAGCTCCATTCCCAAGAGGAGATTTTTCATAAAAAGAGTGTTTTGGTGTTATGTCTGTGGACATCGCAATTCCTTATCAGTTCATTTCGTAACCGGTGAATATGGCACAATAATTCAAGCTTGAATTCATCGCGATACGAAATTTGAATTGGAAGGTTGAATATCATTTATCAATATACAGGGTGTCCCTAGACCAGTGGGACAGTTAAATATCTTCTGAACCAATAGGAATTTTCAAAATATTATAATTCCACATCATATCGCATTATGAGTGCTAACTTCAGGAATGACTATATTTTCTACGAGGGGCGCAAGAAAGGCTCACAGAATCGAACATCAATGTTTTCAAATGGAACACCCTGTATTTCATTGCATTTTCATATTCTCCTTGAAGAGCTGAATTCAACGAACTAGCACACTTGGGGTCTAACGGGAATGATTTCCGAGATATAGGGTGTTGAAAATCGAGATTTTTCATTTTTGGGAATTTTTTGTGTCAAAACTATTCATCATTGGTCAAAACGGCTCACATGTCCATATCTCAACTTTTGATTTACTATTCACTCGTATTTAATTGAAACAAATACAGGGTGGTGTAGAAATCTCAGTTTCAGTCAGATTTCTATACCACCCTGTATTTGTTTCAATTAAATACGAGTAAATAGTAAATCAAAAGTTGAGATATGGACATGTAAGCCGTTTTGACCAATAATGAATAGTTTTGACACAAAAAATTCCCAAAAATGAAAAATCTCGATTTTCCACACCCTATATCTCGGAAATCATTACCGCTAGACCCCAAGTGTGCTAGGTCGTTGAATTCAGCTCTTCAAGGAGAATATGAAAATGCAATGAAATTCAGGGTGTTCCATTTGAAAAAATTGATGTTCGATTTTGTGAGCCTTTCTTGCTCCCCTCGTAGAAAATATAGTCATTCCTGAAGTTAGCACTCATAATGCGATATGATGTGAGATTATAATATTTTGAAAATTCCTATTGGTTCAGGAGATATTCAACTGTCCCACTGGTCTAGGGACACCCTGTATATTGCCGATCAATGATAACCAGGCGGTTTATTTTTCAAAATTTACTGTTTCCTCCCGGACAAATAAAAAAGTCCCTAGATGTGTATTTCAATGAGTAGGTACGACTAGATATCCTTACTGTCTACGTCCCCGTAACCCGTGGCACAGTGGCGCTACAGGGGTAGCAAAAACGCATCAACTACCTCTTCGCCCCGGACAAGGAAGCCATCAACGAAAATTGTAGATGAGGACTAGATGAACACAAAAAAACAACTGTGCCGACTTTTATTTTGCCGCATATATCCCCGGCACAGTGGGGCGAATCAGCAAGTGTTCGAGACAATTTTTTCTAATACTGAGCCTACCCAACAAACAATGAACTTCCAGGAAGTTATTGGCCCAATGCTTTTTCCGCTGAGGAAATGACTTGGACGGCGAAAATTCGTTGGCCTCTCACATTCTTGTAAAGGCACTTTTCCATCAGTGGAGCAAATAGGTATTTGGCCATGATCGTTTCATTGACTTTGGTGTTACCAAGAAAGACAATAATTTTGTTCACTCGATTTTCAAGGAAGCCAATGCTGGGCATTCAACCATGCCTGTATGTTCCAGATGAACATCAATTTTGATAAAGAGTAAAGTACCTCTATTTTAAACACTACCTCTCGAAAATCATCATGCGATAAGGTTGACTATAGGATTGAAGTCTACGTTCAAATATCTAATAACAATTATTTGCTACGGTGAAAATTTGATTCTATTATTTATGCAAATTCTTCAAGATTTTTTCGACATATTATGACAAAAAAAAAAAAAAATTATATCCGCAATCTTGGTTTTTGACAGTGCAGAACTCTTCATGAAAGATGCCCTTTTCCTCAATTTCTAGAGGAACACTACATTTTATAGCAGTTGTGAAAAAAAAATACAGACCCACAGGACCAAAAATCTTTATAATGAAACTATTCGCATATCGGGATCAAAAGTGTCACTTCATTTCCTGTGCTGATAAAAACACAAGCATGCCTCTTCTCTATAAAAAAACCGATCTCACTGTGTCCAACATAAGCTTGTCAGGAGTAAGCATAACTCTGAAAACATCCATTACGATGCTTGGTATTAGTATATCGACAATAACCTTTCTTGCTAAAAGTGCATCCCAAAAACTTGGTTTTCTGTTTCAAACCAGGACCTATTTCACTTTCAGTCAAATGCTTCTGATCTATAAGGCACATATCCAACCTGTCCTGGAATACTGTTTCGAAATTTCGAGTGTAGTACCCAAACATACCCTGAAACTGCTTGATTCTATATAAAAAAGGGCAATTCGTCTCGTGGGTGATACCTCGCCTCCAAACTCACTCACTTCTCTGGAACACCGTAGAAAAGTTGACGATCTGGCTCTATTTTATAGATATCCTCATGGACGATGCTCTTCTGAAATATCAACAATTGTTCCTCCATTGGCAGTCCCCGCGAGATTAACCCGTCGAGTTGAGGCTTCGCACCCCTTCGTGGTCACTTTGGAGACCTGCAGAACATCTCCTCCAAAGACTCGTTCATCCAACGAACAGCAAGGCTCTAGAACACATTGCCAAGGGATGTGGTTCTCGAGGCATATAACCTCCATAAATTAAAAGAACACCAATTATGAGTAGCTGAGACTAGTCTCCGGATGAATAGAGTACACTCCTGCTCCTGACTTATTTTCAGTCTTTGACTTGTCTGAATACCAGATCTTTCGCAGCAGTATGATGTTTAGTTCTCCATCATGTCATTCAGATACACTCTGAAAGAAGTGTCAAATATATATGGTTTCGAAATGTGATCTATTCTCATATTAAGTGGGTACGTCCTTGTTCACTATTCTAATGATGCTGATATGTCCTGTTTCAATGTTAACATTGCCCAGTGCATTTTGCAGTCTGAAGGCACCATGCCTCACCTCTTTCTGTACCAGCAAGTGGAGGGGAGGCAGATCCAGTAGTGTTTCCATGGCTGCGGTTGGCGTTGTCCTCATGGCCTTAGTAATTCCTAGATATACAGTCTTTGTATCTTGGTATTGCTCAGTCAAAGACCTGTCTTTGTAGTGTGTTACGCCACTATACCAGAGAGGCATATTATGTTGATTCTTCATTGAAATGTATGTCGTGTTGGCAGAGTGCCATGTGAATGAGTATTTCTCTCGAAATTGATCACATATTGTTTTGAAATTGAACTGGAAAAACGCTACTTCTTGAAGCAGTTGTAAAAAAAATAAAAAACAGACCAACAGAACCAAAGTTCTTCATGATAAAACTATTCGCATATCGGGATCAAAAGTGTCACTTCATTTCCTGGGCTGATATTCCCCAATGAGTACCTGAGGCTAGTCTCTTGCTCCTGACCTATTTGCAGTCTTTGGTCCGTCTGTATACTGGATCTTTTCCTGCAGTATGATGTTGAGTTCTCCAGCATTTCATTCAGATCTGTCTAGTATGGACATTCTGAATGCAGTGTCAAATATATATCGTTTCTAAATTTGATCTGTTCTCATATCAAGTACGTTCTTGTTCACTATTCCAACGATGCTCATATGTCTTGTTTCAATGTTAACAATGCCCAGTGTATTTCACAGTCTGAAGGCACCAAGCCTCGCCTCTTCTTTTACCATCAAGTGGAAGGAAGGCAGATCCAGTAGTGTTTCCATGGCTGTGATTGGCTTTGACCTCATGACCTTCGTAATTCCTATATAGATATGCAGTCTTTGTATCTCGCTCAGTCTTGTTATGGCCCCTCTCACGCCTCATACCAGAGAGGCATATGTTGATTCTCCATAGAAATGCATGTGTTGTTGGTATAGTGCTGTGCCACAGTATTGATCACACATATTTGTGGAATGGTGCTAGAAGAACGCGATATTTATCATTCTGTAGCTAACGATTGTCGTGCCTCTACAACAAAACTTCGTTTGTAGACGACGTCGGCTGAGGTGTCCTTGGAGGCATTTTTTTGTCGTTACGTGGAGAAGACATGGAAATGATTATAGAAAGTGGCAGAGAAAGGTGAATGTGGAAAGATGATTCGATTGCTGGGGCATTAACAGAGGCAACAAAACAACAATTCTGTATCCTGGAAGACGAACTAATGACAATCTCATTCGACAAAATAACAGATCAATATCTTCCTTTCAAATTCTAACGAGATTGGCGCGTTTTTAGTCACAGAACATCAACATACTGTCAAGAAGGGCACTTTCTCGGATGAAGAACTAATTGAATAACACATCAAGATCAGTCATATTCCATAAACATATTTGATATTATCATTATAGAATCATTTATATAAAAAACAAAACATTGCTACCTTCAAGTCAAAAGAGAATATCCCTAATATCCCATTACATCTGTAAGACGTCGTAGAAACATCCATTTGGGATGATAGGAAGTATTAGATATAACGCTCGGCAGCCCGAGCATCAGCAGAAGGGTTAGACATTGGAGGGTCTCAGACGAACCCTCCCTCTCTAACCACAGAATCATAATGTTCAATGTAGAAGGGCTTGTGACAGAAACCACCTTAAATGTAATTTAGAACAAATCAAGTTCAATGGCAAAAGTCACGTCGAATTTGAGCAGACATTAGAAGCAGTTAATGGTGCAATCATGGATGCATACGAATCCAGCTGCCCCATTAGAGAAAAGAAATCACACAGTGGTACCATTTGGTGGAACGAACACCTGTCAAATCTAAGATCCGAGGTCCGCCGGCTATTCAACAAGGCCAAGCGGGACGGAGACTGGCAGAGTTACACCGAAAGGCTGACAATTTATAACAAAGAAATGAGGAAAGCTAAGAGAAATAGCTTCAGGAACTTTTGTGAGACAATCACTTCAAGTCCACCTGCAGCCAGACTGTACAAGGCCATGGCGCGGGGCAGGGAGCAAGGACCAATGTCTCTCAGAAGATCAGATGGTAGCTATACAGAAGGTGAAGAGCAACGAGCTCTCCTTTTACTGGAGACGCACTTTCCAGGTAGTACACCATATGATCCTGAAAGAACACTGGAAGAACCAGGCAGAGCAAAACGAGAAGACTGGGATGTTGCAAAAACCATTTGCACTCCGGCAAGGTTGAAGTGGGCAATCGACTCTTTCCAACCATTCAAGTCTCCTGGAATCGACGGCATATTTCCAGCCCTTTTACAAAAAGGGCATAAGGAACTACTGCCGTTCATTATCAAGGCAGCCAAACTCAGTCTGGCGTCCGGGTACATACCGAGCAGCTGGACGAGAGCGCGTGTGACTTTCGTTCCCAAAGTAGGGAAGAAGGACCCTACCCTTCCGAAGTCATTCAGACCGATCTGTCTCACATCCTTCTTACTGAAGACACTGGAGAAGATCGTAGATAACTACATCAGATGTGAGATACTGGAGAGGGTGCTCTTGCACCTAGGACAGCATGCATATAGGGCGGGCAGATCAACCGAGACCGCCCTTTTCGTGCTCACCGAAAACATCCAGAGATCACTTGAACATAAAGAAATCGCCATATGCGCATTTCTAGACATAGATGGGGCATTTGACAACACCTCTCATGAAGCAATAAAGAGAGCTCTAATGAACAAGGGAGTGGACAGAACCACATCCAGATGGATGTGTCAAATGCTGACCACAAGAACAGCGGAAACGAAAGTGGGCGAGAGCAGCTTTCAAATCAGTACGAACAGGGGCTGTCCACAAGGAGGGGTACTGTCACCCTTGATGTGGAGTCTAGTAGTAGACGAACTACTCGGGATTCTTACTGAGAACGGAGTAACTTGCTTTGGATATGCGGACGACATAGTCATCATGGCCAAAGGCAAATTTGAAGGGACCCTCTGCGACCTCATAGAGAGAGAGCTAGAGACTACCAGAAGATGGTGCCATTCGGTGGGGTTGAGAATTAACTCAACGAAAACCACATTGGTACCTTTTACTAGAAGAACGAAGGTTCAGCACTTAAGGGTAGTCCGTCTAAACGGAAAAGACCTAGAATGGCAGCAAGAAGTGAAGTATCTAGGGCTCATCCTTGACTCAAAGCTTCTCTGGAATAGACACGTAGAAAAGATCGCCAGTAAGGCAAAATCATCACTGATGGAGTGCAGGAACCTTGCAGGCAAAACGTGGGGGTGTAACCCATCAATACTGCGATGGATGTACACCATGCTAGTGAGACCAATGATCACCTACGGAGCAGTAGTGTGGCACGGCAGAACCGAACTCGCCACTACAAGGAAAATATTAGAGGAGGTGCAGAGACTGGCATGTCTTTGCATAACAGGAGCAATGAGATCAGCTCCAACAGCAGCACTAGAGGTCATTTTGGATCTCACACCTCTACACATCGTGGTGAGGAAAACTGCCTATGGAGCACATCTCAGGTTAGCCAAGGTCGGACTAAGAGGGAAAACGCACAGTGTGAGGGGCTCACCCCCCACTGAGATCGTACACCTCGCCGATCTTCCAACAGATCAAATCATTAGGAAGTTCAGTTTTGAGAAGAACTTCCGAGTGGAGCTGAGCAACAAGCGCGAATGGAGCACAGAATCCATAGAATCACTGGGAAGGAACACCATTACTTGGTATACGGACGGGTCTAAAACACCCGAGGGAACTGGAGCAGGAGTCTTTGGGCCTCGCACCAAATACTTCGAATCCATGGGACAATTCCCCAGCATTTTTCAAGCGGAAATACACGCCATAGGAAGTTGCATCCAGTTCAACCTAGACAGGAAATACCGGAAGAAGGACATCGCGATCTTATCCGATAGCCAAGCAGCCATCAAAGCGTTGAGCTCTCCCTACATCAACTCGAAGATGGTATGGGAATGCCTAAGCAAATTGAATGAGCTAGGCAGCAACAATAAAGTTATCCTCCTCTGGGTGCCAGGGCACATCGGAGTGGAGGGGAATGAACAAGCAGACGCTCTGGCACGACAAGGGGCTTCAACGCCACTAATCGGACCAGAGCCATTCTGCGGCCTTGGAAATTCCTATTTCCAAGGAGAACTTGAGAAGGCGGAAGGAGCCTGGAGAGCCAGACAATGGAGAAGACTTCCAGGACCACGGCAGGCTAAAGATCTCCTTGGAAATTTCAACCGAGAAAGATCTAAGACACTGACAAACCTCAGCAAAGGACGTCTCAAAGCAATAACGGGATTTCTAACGGGGCATTGCAGACTCAAAGAACACCTAAGGAAGCTAGGCCTACAGGAGGAGGGCACCTGTAGATTCTGTGAGGAAGAACCAGAAACACCCCATCACATACTGATGGAGTGTGACGCTGTACATCACAAAAGATTGAACATACTGGGAACACACCAGCTGACTGTGGAAGAAATACCACAGCTAGACCCCCTCAAAATCCTCAAACTCCTGAAGGAATTGAATCTCGAGGGGCTGCTATGAACAGGAAATCCTTGATATAGCAGGAGCAGATGGGGC